ATAAGCGCCAGCGCGGGTCAAATTTACCCCGCTATGTAATGCCTGTATGTTCGCACTGTCATTTTCGTGCCGCTTATGTTTTAACATTGTACATTGCTAGGCAACGCCTTTCACTCACTGAATTAGCGGTTATCGGTTTCGTAAATAAAGACAAATGAGTAAAAGAAAGTGATTTATGAATGCTGAAGAGGTATAAGAAGCACTAAATGCCATGAGCAATTGAGAGTCTGATGTGTGAGGAGATAAGTAAAGCGTCCTGTCGGCTCAGCATCTGACGGCCATCAATATTATATCTGTATAATAATATTATATATTATACTCATCTCATCATGCAATGTGGTGAATTAGGCCTATTATTGCTCATTATTGTCTATAGGCTATTTCAGTCATTTAAATAACATAGGAAATCTTAATATATTGATTAATGACATTGTATTATAATAGCCTATTACACCACCCAAATATGTATTTACTTCCTTCTAAATCTCGTTGTCAGTGCAGGCTTGTTTGGCTTAATATTGACCTATTAAAAAGTGACTAGTGTAGCCTGCATAAAAAAGCCTTGAACATAAAACAACAGGACAAAAATATAGTTGATGACTAGACATAATCATTTCATGACTCTAGACACTTCTTTGTGAAGACAGTAGCATAATACAGTGAAATAATATGTTCTTTAGCCATAGAAATACAGTTGTCATGTGTGTGGGTAAAATTTACCCGCTGGCGCGTTTAGGTATACAGCGACCTCTGGCGGTCCTAGTGTTAAACCAGTTTTTATATTCTAAATACTTTTGTGGAAACTTAGATTTTTCATTATTCCTTGATTAATAGAAAGTTCAAAAGAATAGCTTTTGCACTTTTGATCAATTTAGGGTGTGCTTGCCGAATAATAAAAAAATGAAATGAATAGTAGTGCATATTTACATGGTCAACAAAACTATAAAAATAATCTCATTATACAAACCCATTTTATATGACTGCATGCAAATTCGTAAATGGACAACACAAAAAAATATTGATGTCTTGACAAAAACATTAAGCAAAAACCTGCACATTCAATACGCTGACAAAATGTGTCTAATTTCTGAATGTTTAGGTGTGCCAAACTGAATATTCCTGGAAATAATTACAAACTGTGCCTAAATATTTACGGAATATTACCAGAAATTTATTGTGGTGTTATATTTATGTATTATCAGATAATTGTTGCATAACATAGTGTTTCATAGTCATGCTTATTTGTATAGCACTTTTGACCGCTTCAAAGCAGCTTCACAGGAAGAGATTTTTTTTTTTTTACACTTAAGATTTGTTGCACATTTACTGCAGTTATTCTGCACATCAACTGTGTTTGCGAAGATTTGCTATTCAGCACACAGTAAATAAAAATAAGGAACGGTTTTAAAGGAATAGTGTATTTCTTCATGGTGTACTTCAGCTGAGAGTAGGGAAAGAAATCCACCTATAGCCATAATTGTATCTCAGCGTATCATTATTGAAAAGACCTCTAAAAGCAGAGAAACGCCTGCTCTTATTAAGCAGCCCCTGTGTTATCTCACCATTTGTACAATTGCTGAATCAATCCATTTCAAATGTCATTTTTAAAAATATCTAACTTATGAGAATGTCATTAAGCCATTTGTACTCTTGAGAGTTTATTTAAGAAACCTCAAATGCTTTTGCTAGAAATGTACTTTAATGTATGTAACAGTACAGCAGTTAATAAATGAAGACACCGCAAGCCTCTATTACACTTTTCTTGAGCATAGTTCTAGTTTTATCAAAATGCAGAGCGATAAGATTTAGCCCATCATTCAAACTCAGTTTATTGTAACTCACAGTTATTGGATTTTTACATTTCCAGTCATATAAGTCATAGAGGATGCTGGGACTTCAGAGATTACAAGGGCCTCCTAGATGAGCCTCCAAGTTGTTGTTGTGACCTTTAAGTGTCATAAGTTGTTTTTTTTTCTGTCTAGCTACAATCATTATGTGATAAATCTTTCACTAGCCTCTCAAAATGTCATATGGTTCATCAGCAAGTGGAATAGCAAGCAGATGCTGCCGCCTTTTAATGGCAGAGGCATATGTTGACGTTTTATCAATAGACATTATTAAATCTTGCTTGGGTGAGTTAATCTCAAGCTGATGGTGCAGAGAGGTTGAGAGAGACCGGCTTTAACAGGCCTTCCTGAAAGGCAGGTCATAAGCTGCTTATTATATCGACTCTGTTTTACAAACGCTCACACACACATTTTCTCACCCTCTCTATCTAACCGCCTGTATTTCTGTCATTCTTGCATGCACTGAACAAAAAACATTAGCGGGGTCATCCTGCAAAACAGCACCATTGGTGTCCCTCATACTCATATGTGAAAAATAACTTTATGGATAACAGAATAGTTATATATAGAACAGAATAGTTTTTGATAAATCCATTCATTTTATTCGATTTTTTTTCTTCCTTTTCTTTCAGCATAATGATGTTATGCTATGCATAATGTTATGCTGCTTGCTGTTTTATCCATAATTATCTTTTTAGTAATAACTAAATTGAAATAAATGCTAGCATTTTGACATTTTCCTCTCTCTCTATTATTATTATTATTATTATTATTATTATCATCATCATCATCATCATCATCATCATCATTATTATTATTATTATTACTATGTTTTTATTTTAGTTGATATGTATCATTTAAAAAAAATCTAGAATTTATGAAAAGTTAGGTTGCACTCTGTTACTGTAATATTTTTCCTTTTTTCGGTAATAAACTCTTGCATAAAAAAAAAATGACATTATGACATTATTTTCATTTTTTCATTTTACAGACATGAATCCTTTCAGGTAACAATTTAAAATCTCTTCTTTTTATAATTGTATCCTACATTCCCTATGTTTATCAGTAGGGGATGCTGTTAAAATGTCAGCCCTGTTACCTTCAACCTTGTGATAATTAAAAAGTGTATATTTGTGCAAATATTGATATTAAATTCTCCTAAGAAGGACCTTGTATCATAATGCTGGGAATGAAAAAATTTAAAAAATAAAATAAATATATGTATATATATATATATATATATATATATATATATATATATTATGACATTATCTGTAAATCAAAGGTATAGATTCCTTAAAAATGAAACTGAAAATTAATTTTTCATAAAGGTTTCATAAAGATATTTTAATGCTGCATATGGGTTTTTATCCATACAGTTGGATGTCAATGGTAAAAACTTATTTTGTGTTCCACAGAAGAAAATAAGTCTTAAATATTTGAAATGGCATGAGTGTGAGTAAATGATGACAGAATGTTTATTGTTGGGTGAACTATCCCTTTAAACTTGAGTCACACTTAAGTTTTTAATATTTAAACACATTTTTTGTCTGAGTGAATGGTTAAAATCTTACAGAAAGGTACAAGCGTTTCTTAGAATGACCCAGCGTTCACACACCAAAAACACTGTTTTCTTTCTTCTTTCTTTTAAAACACTTCACAAATTTCTACATGAAGATACGTTGCAAACGAAAGTAAAGTTACACACACAAATCCAAACACATAAGAGCTCCCATCAAAGGCAGACAGCTCAGGGGCCTAAGTTTATTGAAATTACAATTTTCCTCAGCTGCATCTGTGTATGTGTGTGTCTGAGAGACAATAGCAGCTTTATGGCTCTTGCTGGAGCTAGCAGAAGGAGCAGAGGCTGACAGTGGGTGATAAGACCACCAGCCTGCTTCTTGTGATAATCGTTCGCTGGACCCCCACTCACTCTGTGCACAGCTTACAAGCCTAAGTAGCCAGAATCTTGTGTGTGTGTGTGTGTGTGTGTGTGTGTGTGTGTGTGTGTGTGAGTGTGTGTTGGAAGCGAACTGTAGCGAGCAGGGAGCGTTCTTCATGAACAGAGAGAATGCGCCAATGTAAAAGAGAGTGAGACACTGTAGGCTTGTAGTGTCCTTGTGTGAGGTTGTGGTATATATGTAATACATTTAATGTTTCTATTTAGTCTTTGTTGAATAATGTATCATAATAAGTTTCAGTGTTTTTTATATGATCTGGCCATCTATACATTAAAGTATCTCTCTCACCCGTTATTCAAGGAAATGTGAGCTAAAATGTGATTGTTGTACTTTAACTACTTGACATCAGCTGACTAGATGAATGTTCACTAAAAATCAGTTTTGTGTGAAATAATTTGTGTGTGTGTGTGTAATAATTATATATATATATATATATATAATATTATTTATTATATTATATCACTAATTTAACACGGTAAACAAATGTTAATCTGGTAAAAAAAACTAAATGTTGAATAAAACTAATGAATATAATGTTCAAAAGTGTTACAAAAGATTTTATTTTAAATAAATGCTGTTCTTTTGAATTTTCAATTCATCAAAGAATATATGACAGTTTTGACAAAAACATTAAGCAGTGCAGCAACTATTTTCAACATTGATTATAATAAGAAACGTTTTCTTGATCAAGGATGATGAAGATCATGATGAAGACTGCATTAATGACTGCTGAAAATTCAGCTTTGCCATCACAGGAATTAATTACATTTAAAAATATATATATTAAAATAGAAACTTTTCATTTATATTGTAAAAATATTTCGCAATATTACTGTTTTTACTGTATGTTCGATCAAATAAATGGAGCCTTAAAAGGATAGTTCTCCCAAAAATGAAAATTCTGTCATTAATTCAGAGAGCTCTCGGAATTCATAAAAAATATCTTAATTTGTGTTTCGAAGATGAACGAAAGTGTTACAGGTTTGGAACGACATGAGGGTGAGTAATTAATGACAGAATTTTCATTTTTGGGTGAACTGTCCCTTTAAAAAAACTGTAATGTGCACTAAATGTAATGTGATAGTGAAAACTGTGTAGTATTCCTGGTACTGTAAACTCGGCAGTATGGTGCACTAGTAAGTACCAGCACACTTCATACACTTTTTCTAACTGCTCTCTCTTTCTCTTTCAGGTGTCTGGCCTTCTGAAGAGGTGATGGCCTACTATTGCCTGAAGAAGCGTCACATGTTTACGTGAGCCCCCCTTTCTCTCTCTCTCTCTCTCACTCTCTCTCTCTCTCTCTCTCTCTCCCTTCTCCCACTCTCTCTCACTTTGGCCATATGACAGAGAAGCAAGGGCCACTTTTTGATTTGCACTCAAGGCGGTACACAAGTCTTTGATTTCCTGTTTTTACATTCAAGAGGCAGAAGAGGGAAGAGAGGCTTATCGATCACACAGCGGCAAGCTGAAGGTCAACTGGGCATATAGAGACAGAGCAGGGTTTTGCGCCCTTGGGCCAATGCTGCTGTAGGAGTCTGTGTGTGTGTGAATGGAGGATGTTAAGACCTGTGATCTGTTGTGATTTGGTCTGTGTGTCGCTTTTGTGCATATTCAGACCTCTAAATTAAAAACTGGAGTTAATTTGTGTGTGTAGTATGATTGTGCGTGTCTGTGTGTGTGTGGACGTGTGCTCTTGTTCCTGTATGTCATCAAGGACTGTCACCCTCTCGCTATCTTCCAGACCTGTTATCAGGCACTCACCAAAAAGAGGAAAAAGAGGAGGATAAAGCAGAACAAAAAAAGTCAATTTACAGAGAGCGCCCATCTCTTCTCTTCATCCCTCTAGTTTTTTGCCTTTCTTTCCACTAGCCCCATGTACAGCCAAATAGCTACCTGTCACTGGGGCTTTGTCCCCGCCACGGCTCATACTAGCAGTTTTGTGCGCATTAATTTTTAATTGCACTCCCTCATACAACAATCGCTCTCTCTTCATCCTCCACTCTGTCTCTCTGTCAAAGGAAGGTGTCGGATCACGGGCTGAGAGCAGACAAACACATGGAGACTGTTGTCACGGAGCGCAGAAATGACTGGCAAAATGATGAAGTCAAGCTGCCGGTGTGTGTGTGTGTGTGTGTGAAGACAGTTCTGGTGTGCAGCTCTGGGCTGCTTTTGATCTACAAGGACTCTCTACTGTATATTTTGTGTATGACAAACACAAATGAACTCTGCAAATTATAGTCTTTGTGTAAATCCTCCGTTCCTGTGAGAATTATATGAATTACCTTTCATATGAATTATTCTGTTCGGGTGCGTAGGTCTCTATATATGCAATAGGTATGTGTGTTAACTGTTGTTGTGTGACTCAAAAATGTCAGGGTTGTTCTGAGGGGAAAAAAAGCAAAAATGCTAAATGCAGTAAATAAAATAAAATGCAAATAAATGTGTTGTGTTTAGATAGGATAGCCAGTTAGGCTTGTTAACTTTTTTTAAGCGTAGGGAAAATATCTGTCTATAGTTATTGACGTATAGTTTAAAGGCCATTTGTCCAGTCAAACTCTTCTGTAGAAGCTAGGCTAATTAGCCAGATGCTAACATGTTTGCAAATACTGTATGTTCACTTAAAACAAGGATAAGCGGTTTGTGCCGACCTCAACGTGCTTTGTGTGGTGAGTTTTTGACTACCAAGAGGATAAAATTATCAAAATTCATAGAATACAGTAAGAAATCAGTTAATCAGTGTATAATGTTCCATTTCGAACCTTTTTATTTACTTCTGTACAGATTATTAATGTGTTGGTTTGTCACTTGATGTAAACAGAGCTCAGTGAATCAAACATACAGCACTTAAACAACAAAAGTAAACATTTTTCGGAAATTTACCATAATAATACCATAAGTACTTTGGAGTACCATATAAAGGAGTATAAGTATTCTGTATAGGGCTCTACACAATATCAGATTTTCTCTACAATGAAATGAATCATGCTCAAAATGCAAGTTTTGGGAGGCGCGGGGAGAGAATTTGTAACAATAACTGTACAAAATTTTACAAAATGAACTTCCTAAAGACTGGGAGGTCTAAAATTTGTTTTCTCTTTTTAACTTTTTTTTCCGGGTGTTTCCGTTTTATGATGGGTGAATCCAGCATAAGCGTCCAATACCTCCAACTACTAAATTGGAGTGTTAACTGGATAGTTATCACTGCTGGGTTTTATATATATATAAATATATAAATATTATATTTATTATATTATATTTCATTTTTACATATCATGGTTATCATCAGTACTAGTATATTGTCACAACTAATTTAGTATGATAAATATATCAAAACACTGCAGTATTACCATCTGTAATGCATCAGTGTACTTAAAGTCCAGTACAGAATCAAAGCAGAACACTGATCCTGTACATTTAATTAACTTCCCATTCCTGCTGTACCACAAATCCACATTTCCAGCAGGAAAAAGGACAATTGCGCTTTCTTTTGTGAACACACATACACCCGCTTGCATGCAGAGAGAAGGAGGGAGAGGAAGGTTGAGATCAATGAGTCCAGCGGAATTGCATTCCAATCAATGGCATCCCCCAACATGGGCAAGTTAATTAGCGTTATTGTCAAGACACAACAGCCATCTCTCTCTCTGTCTGTCTTTATCACTCTCATCCTCCTGTTTTCATCTCATTTGAGCTGAAAAACTTCACTCTCGTACTTATGTACTTCAATGTTAACGCTAAACGGTGCATCAAACCCCTCCGTGTCTCTCTGTCTCACAGGGGCTCGGCGGTGTGTGAGCTGGGTGGAGGGATGACGTGTCTTGCGGGGCTCATGGTAAGTCAAATGTGAATGCAAAAATTACAGACAGTGCTCACACAGACAGACAGTCACAGGCAAATGGGCAATTTGCATCAGCATGGGTAATCTAACATGGGCATATTGTAAGCAACATGAAATCGGCCAGCGCACATTGACATTTCTACCTCAGTGACCATAAACACACGTGGCCCAATGGGCTAACTTCATCAAAAGCGTTTAAACACAGGGGCTTACATATGCAAACACTTTCTGTCTTGGTCACACACACACACACACACACACACATCAGTGGCTTAGACTCTGGCTGTGTGTGGTGTATAGTAGTTTGTAGTAGCCTCTCCAGATGGACAGGCTTAACATGTTATCGATTTCGCCTTCACAAGACCAGCCTTCCCATATCTCTCCACTCAATACCCCCGTGTTGTGACATTACGGACCGCCAGTGGATCGTCCTCCTCGCACCCCCTCCCACTCCATTTCATCTCTCTTTTTTTTATTTTTATTTTTTTTACTCGCATTCCTCCTTTTCTCAGGTCTGACTTGGTGCTTCTTGATGCTTGTGTTTATTTAAGTCTTTCACAAGGAAAAATGGCTCCTCTCTTCTGTCCTGTGCCCCGGAGTGCTGTGGTTTTGGCAGTGCCATCCATGTTTTTCTTGGGTGACTGGTTGGTTTCCTGCAGGTCTTGATGCCCATATGGCTAGCTGGTGGTGCGGGGCCTCGTGACTTGACTCTTGCCCATGGGGCAAATATTACTACCTCACTCTGTACAGATGATTGTGCAGTGCATGTACCCCTTTTTGTTTGACTTGAGCATTTCAAATTAAAGACATTCAAAATGTCTGCCAAAAAAAATCTAAAGAAATTGTTGCAATTTGTGATTTTTACCTGGGAAAATGTATCTAAGATGCTGGTTTTCTCTGTGATGACGTGGAATATTCGCCGCATTTTACCATCAAAACATTTGAAGGCAGAATTTATTTGATAGAATACAGTTCAGCAGTAATATTGCGAGACAATTTAAAATTAGTATTACAAATAGTTTTGTATTTTAATATATTTTAAAGTATAATTTATTCCTGCAATGCAAAGCTGAGTTTTCAGCAGCCATTACTCCAGTCTTCAGTGTCACATGATCCTTTAGAAATCATCCTAGTATGCTGATTTAATGCTTAAGAAACATAAAAAACAACTAATAATTAGAAAGTTCAAAATAATTTTTGTAACATTATAAATGTCTTTACTGTGACTTTTGATTAATTTAATTTATCCTTGCTGAATAAAAGTATTAATGTCTTGAAAGAACAGTACTCTATAGCACATGATAATATTCCTTAAGAATTATCCCACTAAACTGAACTAAACTGCTCCCATTCTCATAAGGACCATAATAATAAAAAAGTAAATAAATAAAAAATAATTATTAAAATACAGTTTCATGTCTTTAAGAAATATTGAAATATAACATTAAACATTACATTTTTAAAATGCACTCTGCAGTAGTGTCAAATAGTTATTTTTGCTTCCTGTGTTTGAGAAATGTCCGAAATTCGAAATCGCATTATTCAAAAGCACAAATATAAAACCTTGCAAGCACTTTTACAAACGCATACACACACTCCCTACTTCTGCCCACTGCTCCTCTCCAAACAACTGTTACACAGTGCCCCTGATAAAGATGACTACTTGAATGAAAAGACTGTATAAAAAGAGGACAGAAAGAGCTGACAGTGGAGCGGCACAAAGGCAGAAGCTTCGCAATACAAAGTTATATGAAGGGCATCAGGCAGGCCTCGCGAGCCGAGTAAGGAGTGACAGCAGAGCGCGATGGCCCCGCCTGATAAACGCCACACTGCAAATGAAAGGCTCGGCGCTCACCATCATCCCCTGTCACAATGCAATTACCCAACAGAGTGATAGCAAGATAGAGGGCTCCCAGCCACCGGGAATGATAAAAGTATTGACTGATTTGATTGAATGATTAAAATAATGCAGACGTAAAATGAAAAAAAAAATGGCTGAGACAGACAGCAATGAATGAGAGGGAGCAGGGGCAAAAGAGTGAGGGGTGGTCATTTTGGAGTAGGGCTTTAAAAATCAGCGCTCTTCAGATATGACTGCTTGCAAACAGTGTGCTGAGGATGTCTTGCTTTTGTTTTATTTATGTATTTATTTATTTGTTTATTATTTGTTCTCCTTTCCTGCAGATTGCAGTTTGTGCTGATGTGAAGGAAGTGCTGCTATCTGATGGCAACGAGAAGGCTATTCAAAGTATCCTTGAATTTTGGACTGTTATGTAGCTCTGTTCCAATACCTACGTCGTAAGCTGCCCATTCCCTACATAGGCAGCTGCCTTCTAAGGCAGCGTCTGAACTGAAATGGAACCTCATAAGTGACTGATCTGGAACAACTTATATAGGCAGGATCTGTAAATAAAGTCCACAGGAAAAGGCAGCATAATTACGTTGCCTATACATTTTGGAACAGCCTTCACATTTTAAATTGACACCTAAACAATACTCTCCCTACAGAGGCAGCTCACTTGGTTTTGGAACAGAGCTTGCGTGTTTCTGAACCAATCCAAACATCAGTTTGTTCTGTTGGAGTGCTGACAGCTATGTGTTTGGTGTGTATGTTTTCAGACTGTCTTCGAGAGCGTAGCACAGAAAAGAAAACCTTGCTGTGTATTTAACCCGTATTTACCTCAGATATTCCTCTCACTTCCACCTCACACACACACACACACACACACACACACACACAGTCAGCCATTCTTAATGTTCACTCTGTAAAAGAATACACACGCACATACACACACACACACACACACACACACACACACACACACAGTCAGCCATTCTTAATGTGCACTCTGTAAAAGAATACACACGCACATACACACACACACACACACACACACACACTCACACCCCCCTCGACATATCTGAATGTGAGGCAAATCATCCAGCTGACACCCGAAACCTGCATTTAGCATGTTTAATACATATTCATGTCATTGAAGGCTACTGCTGTGTGTGTTGACTCACCTGCTCCTTGTCTCTCACCCTCTCCCCCCTCTTCCATTCCTCTATTGACTTTCTCTTTTGCCAGGAGCACAGATGAAGCTTAAACAGGTGACAGGGCACAGCTCGAACCTTCTTTCTTCATTCCCTTTCTTCGCTTTTTCTTATTCCTGCTCTCCATCTCTCGTCTTCCCACCGCAATCACTCAGATTAGCCTCGTCGTTTGGCTCACAAAGGCAGGAAAAATGGAGACGACAGACGTGACAGCAAAACGCTGCAAAATTACCATGCCCACATTCGTTAGTACAACAGCCAGCGCTGCCACTACAATGAGCTTTTATTGAATATCAAAACTCAAAGAACAATAGCCGTGGCATGAAATTAACACAATTCCTCATTGAGAAGAGATTTGTTTAAAAGAAAATGGAGGGAAAGGGAGCAGAGCAAGACATACTCAATACATCCATGGTCTGTCTCTAAACTGCTACCTGTAATAGAGTGTGAAAAGACTGGCAGTTGGCTGATAGAGCATTAATTGGCAGTGCTTTGTTTCAGAGAAGTTTCTGCCATAATAGAACGCCAAGAGATGATCTGATGATCGGACGAGGCCAGGAAAAAGGACAAGCTGTCTTGGGAGAACCGTATACGATATGGTGTTTTCTTTCTTTGTTTTAGAGGGAAGAAAATTAAGGGATCTACAGAGTTGAAACAATAATATTAGCATGTGAGCCATAGGATTACTCCAAATGGTCAATATCATATATATATATATATATAGCAACAGTTTGATCGCATCATATAATCCTTGCTGTTAATAGTGTTCACCGTCTGTTTGATTACATGACATTAACTAACTGCTTGATTTTTACCGTACATTTCTGCCATATGGACATCAACTTGAGACAGTCACCACTGATAAGCTATTACTAAATATAATGTAGAAACTTTAATTTTCTGTAAAGCTGCTTTGCAATGATTTGCATCGTGAAAAGTGCCATACAAATAAACTTAATTTAATTGAATATAATATATATATATATATATATATATATATATATATATATATATATATATAATATATATATGATATTGTATATATATATATATATACAGTTGTTTTTTTGTGTTCCTTTCCTGTATAGCTCCATATAGAACCTTAAATTTTCGAATCTGGTCTGTAAAGCAATTTCTGCTTTCATCATTTAGGTTTGACCTTTGTTTAATTTTGAAAAACGTAACTATATAGCTTTATATATGTATAGTTAAATAGTGTACGGGGTTGGACAAAATAATGTGAACAGAATTATTTGGACAGAGTAAGGTGTTTTACCACCATTGATTTTAATACAGCTTTCAGCCTTAGAATAGATTAACACAATGCTTGAACAGTCTCTAGTTGAATGTTCAATTGTCTGTTAATTGCTGTAGATGTTGGAGGAGGGAATCTTTTTCTTACTTTTCTCTCCAAATATTGCCCACAGTGATTTGACATCATTTAAGTCAGGTGATTGAGATGACCAGGGCAGATATTGAAGTTAAAGGGATAGTTCACCTAAAAATTTTAATTCTGCCGTTAATTACAGAATTAGTGACTCATCCTCATGTCGTTCCAAACCAGTAAAACCTTAATTCATTTTCGGAAAAAACTAATTAAGTTATTTTCGATGAAATCCGAGAGCTTTCTGACCCTCCATAGACAACAAGGAAACTACATCGGTCAAGGCACAGAAACGTACTAAAGATCCTAGAAAAGAAAAAAACGTTGAACATAGTCGTTATTTTAGTTTTCTTTGCGGACAAAACGTATTCTCGTAGCTTCATAAAATTAGGGTTGAATCACTGATGTCACATGGACTATTTTAACAATGTCCTTACTACCTTTCATGGGCCTTGAACATGGTAGTTCTGTTGCTGTCAATGCAGGGTCAGAAAGCTCTCGGATTTCATCAAAAATAATTTGTGTTCTGAAGATGAACGTAGGTCTTACGGGTTTGGAACAACATGAGGGAGAGTAATTAATGACAGAATTTTCATTTTTGGGTGAACTATCCCTACTGTCCTGGTTTCATGATCTTAACACCATGTTTGTTGCCTTTTAGCATTGGTATCTGTAATTAGAGGTTTATTTGCCATGCTTTGTGTACGCAGTCACAATGATAGACACTTGCTCTTAAAACACCAAACAATTGGACTCTTAAGGTTACAGAAGCTCCTGCTAAACAGGCCATGATTTTTGTACATTTCAATTACTTTTGTGTGAGTACTTGTGTGTTATTGCTGGACAATTAGATGTTACTCCAAGTAGTGTTACTTCCTATACCAAATATGACCGATTAGATGTGTTACTACATGAACACACACACTCTCTGCACACTTCATAAAAAATCAGTCCAATGAGCCCAAGTGGGAATGAATAAAGTGCTGAGTGGATTCATGACTCAGTTCTGATCTCAGGCTGCATGTTCAAAAGACTGGCTGAGCTCGTATTAAAGCCGTGCATGTGTAATCAAGAGACCCTACTGTTAACTGCTAAATTTCACTTCTCACACACTGATTCTTTAATAGCTGCTGCTCTCTGGAGCTTTACAAACTCTATTAAGCAGCAGTCCTGAAACTTGGAGACAATATATGCACAGGTGTTACACAGGAAGTCCATTTTTGATCAAAATTGTGTCTCTGGGCGCTGTTAAAAGACAATGAGAGAGACGCCAGTGCTGACCTCTCCCCCAGTGGTCTTTTCCTGATGGGATTACACTGTAAGCTTTCCACTCTCTCTCCTTAGCAGCGGATCTCACCAGTGTAACGTGCACACCCAGCCCCCTCCCCTCTTTCATTGAGGGATTTGCCCTCCATCCCTGCGCTATAGATTGGATTTGCTACGGTTGTTTTCCATGGAGCGAGAAAGAAAGCGGGGCAGAAAAAGCGAGAAATCGTAATTGAATTAGTTTAAAACTGTCGAAGGGTCTATTCATAGATGCGCTGACATCAATCCCACAGTATAACCACAAAGGGTGGAGGCCCATCTGAGGAGATGGCCGCAGGTTAAAAGCCTCCCTATTGATTACCTATGGTGATGCTTTGCATGAGTTGGTTTTGAGCTCAGTGGTAATCTGAGGATGAGGTGTGGAGAGAGACGGCTGTTACGGAAGCAAACGGACTCTGTGGGTTGACGTCATTTGAAAAGGCCTGACATAATAGCGTTCTGTAACATGGTTAAACAAGAAATCAGCTCGTGTAATAGGCTCTTGATCAGAGGAATCAAGAAAATGGTCTTGCTGTTGTTCAACAGTGTCTCACCTACATCTCTAAAGTGGCTAATTTTTTTATAAACTTTTCTGTATTCTGAAGCTTGATTAGCTTTTTGTAGTATTCCTCATTTGTCAGTTACAAACGAACATAAGTAAAATACCAAATTATTTTATATTTAACTGAATATTGCATTCCTTTGAGAAACTTTGCGTTCACTTGCAAAAGATAATTTTCTCTCCCACCTCATATTATTCCTGTCACACTGTCTGTCTGTCTGTGTCTATTTAGATTAGTTGGATACAATTGTGAAGAGAAAGAAACCACCAAGTGTCTAACAATACTCAAGTCCTTCAGTATTTAAAAAGCATTCCAGGATAGTAGCGTTGGCCAATCAGCATCCAGGACATGAACTAATTTGTTGTGATGCCTTCACTATTATTACAAAATATGGGAAAAATGTAGGTCTGTTCAAACTTGCTTGACATGCTAGTGGATACATCTGTCTTCATGGAGTTAATGTTTAACTGTTCTGCTCTTATTAATTACAAAACAGTGTTGCATTTCTTGACAAAGAGCATCAGATGTGTGCAGTGTAATCGAGAGGAACAGACGAGAAGGGCTCTTCCTGTCTACCAATGTGTCCAGCAGGTAATCACTCATATGCCTCCCAACATCTCTGATAATGAAAGACAGAGCACAAATACTGCTTTTACATTACAGCCATATGAAGTCCATCTCTTATGTCAATACAAATTCAAGTGTTATAATTCGCTGAAGCTTCGCGTAGTCGAGCATGCCATGAAGTATAGAAAAGTGTGTTTGGGTAAAGTGGCATTTACGGCACTTGTGTTCGGGAAATAATAGTGTCAATAAGTAGGCAAAAATGAGGTTGCAAGGCTCTGTGTCACTCCCTGAACCCAGTTGGCCCAGTAACGAGGTATCCGCAGCCCGCGGAGCGAGCGCTACGCTCTCTAACGCGCCGAGATGTATCCAGGCAGAGCGATGATGAGCCACTCTCCGTGATTGAATGCCCTCATCTAGAAAACTCAAACACACACACTCTCTCACATTTGCCAAAACACAGCTCATCCACTGTGCACACCATCACGCAAATGCATTATCACCTAAAAAGTAATTTTGGCACTCTGATCTAACCACTCTCTCCCCCTCTCGTCTCCTCTCCTCTCTCTTGCTCTGCACACTTCCCCCTCCCTGTGTATTTACACTGGGCTGATGAAGTGAAAGAGTAAACGTATAATTAGCCTGCATTACTTTGATTGTTTTCTTTAGAGATTAGGCTTCCTGTCAGAGCGCACGGTTTGAGTGGGGTGAAGGTTGCGTGTGATTGGTTGAGGTGGGGGGGGGGGGGGATTCGCTTTCTCAAGTCAGTGAATAAGCAGCGCGGACCCCCGCTGAGAGAGGAGATTGTATTTCCACAAGACGTAATTTTTGTTTACTGACTGTTAATAATGGCTAATTAATAATCAGATTTGCTTGCCTGGAAACCGGCCCTAGCACTTAAGGAAAAGAGAGAAGACGATCGCCGCCAGACAACGGCGCAAATAAAGCGAGTGTCAGGTGTGTGAAATGTCTCTGGATGCTGCATTGTCAGGGATTATGGGAGTGAACGATAAATTGCGCAACAGGGTTGATGACACAGCAGCTATCATCCTGGTTCTGTCCTCTTTTAGGGTGGTGAGATGGGACAATGAGGCCGATGTGTCCGCTCTGGAGGGTTGCTTTGACGTGGTGATGTGCGCTGACTGGTAGGTTGATCCTTTTGTTGAACTGTCACTTCTTCAGAGATCGACCGTCACCCAAAACATGACACCTGTACACAATTGTTGCGCGACACCTCCAAAACAGATTATATGCCATACGATTCTGAGCAAGCGAAGAGATTCTCTACATCTGTCCAAACTGGCCGTTCTTACAGCCATTACAAAATAAATATCATATCTCACACTTTACTAGCATCTCCAGCCACAATATGTCTACACCCTCAATAAAAGTGTGCACCTTGTGTCCCGGTGATGTGGCATTAATATTCCTGCACCCGTAACACTTATCAGATGGCAGCCATCAGCTCACGGATGGCACTGCATTATTTCCCCTCCGCCAGCTCCGCCAGGCATTTCCATTTTTCAGAAATTGCCTCTTTTTCATGCTTGGCGTCCCAGCAAATGGATGTCTTAGGCAAATTGCAAATAATTATGCCTGTGCAAGGAAAGAAAGAGAGTGAGAGAGAGATTGTGGAGCAATACAAACATTTCAATTAGCCAGGTCCTGAACATGTGGAACCATTGTTTTTTTCTCTCTCTTTTGTGTGTCTGTGTAAATGCGATGTTGTGTGTGCATTACGCTAGTCTTTTACAATCATTCGGATGTAAATTTTACAACTGGTACATTCAGACTTCATTATGTAATGCAAGAAAATGTAATGTTGCTTGAATGCTATGTTGGATAGCTTGGGAAATTCAGCTTAGGGGAGGCATCATGTTATCAAAGATGAACAGTTCTCTTTATTTACATGGTCATGTAGTTGTTAAAGGGATAGTTCACCCAAAATAGAAAATTCTGTCATCACTTGCTCACTCAAGGCGCTGCAAACCTGTATGACTTAATTTCTTCTGTATAATTCTCTATATAAAGTGAATGTGCTCCGATGTTGTTTATGAGCCCACTGACTTTCATTATACAGTCAGAAAAAAAGTTTAAACAATCTTCTAAATATCTTATTTCTTTTATTCAGAAGAAAAAGTCATATAGGTTTAGAATGATATATGAGGGACAGTAAATTCATTTTGTGATGAACTGCCCCTTTAATACATTTTACAATTTAAACTGTTTTCCAGTAATATAATGTTTGCCAATATTTTATGCATTTATATTAAATCTACACATTAAATGCACAGAAAATGGCCAATGAGTACAGAAGATTATTAGCGAGATGTATTGGTTCGTTTATTCATGTCTAATTCTCTGATTCTGATTCCTGCTCTCATTGCATGTTATAATAACCCTAATTAGTACTCTAATTATAGACATTTTCAAATCATACACATTTTCCCTATCAACTTTTTTCTTAACACTATTATAGTTTATTACATTGTTATTACATTGTTATAAGCCCAGCTCTAAACATGATGTTCTTTGGCATTGTCTCTATCTAGCATAAAGTGGTGAGGCTGATGGAGGCGGGGTATAATGATACCTGTGTGTTCTCTGGCGATGATCACTAAAGCCTGGTACAGCCTACTATTATTCTAATGTCAGACAAATGGCAGCTAATACGCAGGTAAAATGTGCAGCAGAGGGCCAGCATGAGATTGATTTGTGTGTAGTAAGGAGACTACGTGTGTGTGTGTGTGTGTGTGTGTGTGTGTCTGTGTGTGAAGAGAGAGAGAGTGGAAGAAGGTACGTGACGATGAATCATGCCGCGTTGGCTGTCCCCCCGTTGCTTGCACTGGCAACTCATCTGTAATTGCCGTCTTCAGGAGAGTGATCGCTCGGCGATTAACGAACATAGCCATGCTGACGATCACCTGCGAAAAGGTCAACAGCCACACTTCTGCTCCGATTAATTATAGTCTTTCAGACAATCGTCAAGAAAGGCAGGATGTAATGCAGCGGCGCTCTGGCTAGGAGAAGAGCGAGAGAGATAGAGACACAGTCTCAGCTATGATAGCAAAAGGTTCTTCCAAAAGAACCCTCTCCCCTCTTCCCCTCTGTTTCACCTCGTCTTTGTCTTCACAAGACAATGCTATTCTTGTCTGAAAACTATGTTTTGTAGCTACGCTAAGAGTTGACAAAAGCATTAAATTAGCACTCAAGGCCGACAGCTCTTTACTTGACTTGTGAAGCTTTGTTTAAAGCGATATTTCCTCACTGCTGAGAAGGTAAAAGACTGATATGCTTTGAAGTTTTCATGTGTCTCTTTCACATGGGCCTGTTTAATATTGCATATGTAATTTATTAGGGGTGCAACGGATCGTAGATGATCTGTGATTCTTACGGATCAGGCTGCACGGTTCGGCATGCATGTGATTCGCGGATTAACTGTTAAGTTTAACCATCATAGAGTTAAAGTTTATCATTTGCACATGTTTTGTCTTGCCAGTTTACACATTCAAGAAATTTTAAGAAAGTTTTCTGTGCGCTCGGCCGCTGCCGCACACACCCGAAACGCGCACACGCAGAGAGAGAGACACCGCGTGAACAGCGAATTGATTCCTCTTTCACATACACACAAAGGTATGTTAAAATGTTTTGGCAAGTATTCTAGTGAACACAGTCGGTTATGTCTTAAGTGAACGTAAACAGCAGAGAAAAAAAACCTGATGTGTGTCAGTTTTAGGTCCGTGCATTTGGTCTTAAAGAGACAGCAGCCAATAAATACCTGTTTCTGTCTGCTAATCAAATAACACCACAGCTTTAACAAAGATTAATCTGTATTTAACTTGTGCAGTGAGCACTATTGTGTTATTTTACACTTAATTATTACATTTCTGCACCTGAATGCTACTGTTACTGACTTTATTTGTAACTGTGTTGTTGTATTCATCTATGCTTGTAATTTGTGTAATTGTTCTTGTTTTATTACTACTATTACTGTGGTATAGAAGTACTTAAAGGCACAATATGTAATTTTCGCCGCTAGAGGGTGCATATTCAAAATAAACAAAGAGACAAAGGCGTAGTTTGATGATGCCGTGACTGAGTGTGGAATCATGGGAGTTGTCGTCTTCATCCCCACAGCCGATGCAATCCGACGGGACTCGGGCAGAAATCATGTTCATGGATGAGCTATTGATTTATTAACGTAGTAGAATGAAGCAGGGTGAGGCTGAAAGCCGTCGAAGCGAAACGAGGCCGCTGAACGAGCGTTATATATTTGCTCGCTGAACGAGCGTTATATACACGGCTCGAAAGCAGCGGAGCTTTTATTATGCCACAATCGACCGCTTCTGCTCCTTCCAGTCGTGAGTATGTGGGGGGAAAAAAGCAGCGCTGTTTTATCATACTAGATACATTTGAAGGTTCTGTTATAACGCTACTCTGTGCAGTCATCACCGGTCTATTAAAATGCACAACATATTAAAGCTTCTTTAGTGTTTCCATGTTTTCTACAAAACAGAACCGGAAATCGAGGGGCTATGACGACATGAACACGGTCCGTGTCACTAGTTAAAATTTCTTATTTCTCTGGATTTAAACATTCTTCAAAACATTTGGGATAATGTAAGTACACAAGTCAGCAAAATATATAACGCTGTTCTAGTGGTTTTTAGATATTTTAATAAAAAAATCTTACATATTGTGCCTTTAAAGTAGCTTTCACTAATTTTTTTTTTGCTGATCCGATCCGTGACTCAAAATCCATAATAGGATCCGAACCGTGAGTTTTGTGATACGTTGCACCACTATAATTTATTGCTGGTCTGTGTGCTCTTGCTTTGCAGTCTTTTAGTTTGTAGTTATGTCTTGTTCCTGTTTCCTGTTCCTCCTATCATTTTATAATTTTATCCTATCGATTGTCTGCATCTGTGTGCTTAGCTGTGTTTGGAAATATACTAGCTGTGTCTCATTTAGAAGGCTGCACCCTCCGGAGGTCGAATCCTCTAGAGGTCGCATCCTCTGTAGGATGCATGTACGAAGTGTCCTCAACCAAGAATTAAACAAGACGGCCTTCGTAGGACAGGCGGAAAAGGAAGCCGGAAGGATCACGTTGCTATGCCAACACAATTAGAGCATCGTTGCGCTCTCACACTACTTAAACGAAGGAAAATTATTTCTAAATTTGGAAAGTAATTTGAAAAAAAAATGCTTTTACTTGTTTTATTTTGTTCAATGTTTGAGGAACTGCAGCGTACGTACAGCAGACATCTATTAGAGAAAAAAAGGAGGAAGATATTTAAAACAAAGTTTATCCGTTTTTACCGAGGCGAATTAAGGTAAGTTGTAAACACCACATCTGCGCTTGTGTGTACGTTACATCTGCCAGCGCCGGCTTTTTTCAAATTAACAACTGTTGTTCACGGCGACGCAAAGAATTGTGGGTTATCTGTAGCAGCGAAGGATACACCTCATGCATCCTCTGAATTCCTGTGAAAGAAGGTCACATTCGGAGTGTCCTACTTGCTTTTCTGAAATGAGACAGCCTCGATAACGTATGCAGCCTTCGAATGCGACCTCCGGAGGGTGCAGCCTTCTAAATGAGACACAGCTACTGTCTAAATAGGTACTACATTTAATGAGGAACTTTGCAACTGTTAAAAAAGCATACTATAGTAGGTGAGTAGTATGAATGAAAACCTAAACAGTACATCCACCGTGTTGTCATTGTCAAGTCAAGTCAAGTCACCTTTATTTATATAGCGCTTTTAACAATACAGATTGTGACAAAGCAACTGAACAGCATTAATTAGGAAAATTACTATATAGAATTTTTTTTTTTTTAAATGGTCATAAATTGTAAAAAGGTTGTCGAGAGTGCACCTTTGATAATTACAATAATGTCTGTAAAATAATCTGTACTGAAATAATAAATGCAATTGTTTTGTTTCTGGTTATTTTGAACCTCTTAGGTAGTGCTGCACAGTTTGGGGGGAAAATATAATTGCCTTTTTTTCTTTTGATAATAATTATGATAGCGATTTATGTTTTTTCTCCCTAGGTTGGCTGTGCTTATTTGTAGAGCTGCACAATTTGGCCAAAATGTTGTGATTATATGTCAATATGACTATAAAATAATAATAATTATTATTATTATTATAAGAAATTATTATTTTGCAATATTTCACTGTAAATAAAAAAACTTTCTTAATTAATGCAATCTTAAATGTGAGTCCATCAAGCTTTTCTGGCATAAAACTGCATAGAGAGAGAGACCTTAAAGCATCTCTTTTGTTGACAACAGCCAGTTTATAAGCACTTCTCATAAGTTTGAGAAGATGGTTAGCACATATTTATTTACAAAATTCAAGTTATAAGCAACTCAAACCCACAGCATATCCAGAAATGAGTTCCATGCTGCTCTGATACATTGAAAACACCGGATCATGAGCTGCTCACGTGTAAAAATCACGAAGCCCTATTCTTAGATTGGCCTGACATCCAGCTTCACTTTGCAAATGTATGATAATGTATGTCAAATAGATATATCTTGAGACATTTATTCAGTGTTTTCATTTGCATTGATATTGAATGTACATGAACTACTGAGATTTTAAGTTTCATATACATTATATAATGTGGGTTAATGACTTTATAATGGAGGTTTAAAGTGCAACCCATTTCTGTTCAGCTCCATTTCCATAGTGACTACATGTAAACATGCTCGCAGGGAGTCTGTTTTAAAGTGCTAAGGAATGACACTCTGGAAAAACACGGTGTATCCCATCACTTAGATCCTTAGTTGGAATCGCAGTAACGCCAGGCTAGGGTCAAGCATGTGAAGAAGCAGTCAGCCGTGCTCCACGATAAGTGAATCAGTATTCAGTATCCTCCACTTGATCCCTCCAGCAGTTCCCATGCTGATGGGTGCCTGACACTAACAGGTGAATCTCCATACAATGTTTGTATGAGATTCCCTTAGGTGAAAACAGTTGTTGTGTAATCATGTCTGTTGAATTTACTAGATGAACAATTATTGAATATATTTTATATACGAGTTTCACAATTTGAGTTGAATTACTGAAATAAATGAACTTTTCCACGACATTCTAATTTATTGAGATGCACCTGTATTTATTATTGAATATATTCAATTATTGAAACAATTATACACATACACACACAGAACATTGAAGCATTTCACTGCACAAACACACACACAGTGTAATTTAGGCGGCTGGTGTTTCCACTGGCAATTCTTGCAGTGGTCTTGTTGCATAGTGAATGACTAACTGAGAGAGCTTGGCATCTTGGCTTCCTCTAAGCTTCCTGTGTCTGTGGACTCCAGATAAAAGCTTTTGTGCATGTTTACTTTTATTTATTTAAGTTTTTATTAAGTTACTATATTATTTAGCTGATTTCGTTCTGTCACCTTCTCTTGCCCCTTGTTGAGCTTGCCGGCTCATTATGTGATTTAAAAAAATAAATAAATATATATATACATTTACCTCTGTGTATTTTTAGAGCACCTTACCTTAACCACCTAAGTATGATATTTTGTGTCGCCTGCCCAGCTGTATTGTTTAGCCCTTTTAACTATAATAGCACGCAGGAAAATAAATAAATAAACCAACACATAAAAGTGCTTTAAAAATAGCACAAAAATGGGACTGGTCAATCATTTTTCCAATAGCTCTGAAAAATGGTATAATTTACCAGTTATTTAGATGTCGTTTAGATAAATTGGCCACGTCATTTACAGCATTTCAGTGTTGATTTCTGTACAGTTGTTTGTGATTTCAAGGTTTGAAGCTTCATAAAATTTTAGTTACCTGAATTAGTGAATCAATAATAAACAACCAAACAAACAAACCAATGAGAATGGCTGTGGATGGATAGATAGATAGATAGATAGATAGATAGATAGATAGATAGATAGATAGATAGATAGATAGATAGATAGATAGATAGATAGATAGATAGATTGATTGATTTCAGTTACAATTTTGGACACACGACTAAAATGATCCTAAAAACCTTTTAACCTTAAGGTTTATGTTTAAATGTAGTTTGTACATTAAAAAAATAAACATAGACTACAAATAAATAAATGAAAACAAAACAATAATAATAAAAAAAATAGCCATAAAGTGTCCATGAGCATGAAGGAAATTTAGTATATACAGTGGGTACGGAAAGTATTCAAAATTGTTGGGTCTTTCCCAAAAAGACTCATGGCTGTATTAGTTCAAAAGGGTGCTTCTACTAAATACTGAGCAAAGGGTCTGAATACTTAGGACCATGTGATATTTCAGATTTTCTTTTTTAATAAATCTGCATAAATGTCAACAATTCTGTGTTTTTCTGTCAATATGGGGTGCTGTGTGTACATTAATGAGGAAAAAAAATTAACTTAAATGATTTTAGCAAATGGCTGCAATATAACAAAGAGTGAAAAATTTAAGGGGGTCTGAATACTTTCCGTACCCACTGTATCTGTAAAAACATCTCCACATATGAAAGGTTTTCTGTCCCATCAGTTAATGTCAGTCATCTTAGCATAAGTTCCTATTGATGGTATGATGGTATTGATGGTATTTTATGAGTCATTTATCTGCCATCACTCAATCCTTTAGGTTTCAATGAGGGGATGAGGTTAATGCACTCTGGATTAGGTCCTATATTTGAATCTTACTACCATCACTTTAAGATTACCACACCCAAAAATATTCCAAGACATGCCCCATTTGTGGTGTGTTTGCCATCCTGGCGAGCTGTGTAAGTTATGTACTTCTGTAATATGCTACCACACTTCTGTTTATAGCATTGTAAATGCACTGTTCACACAGGCCAGGCAAGAGAGAGGGATTTGAATGTCAGTTAACCACTGGTGACGATGACGACAACAATACCAACAAGCAAATCTTGCAGCCCAAAGCTCTGACATAATGCTGGTGCTGTTGTAGATGGTCATTACCTTTTTAATACACAGAAAATGCATTTAATTAAAGGAGAAAGAATGAAAGGCAAGTATTACATCACTGACAGGTCAATATATGGAAGTAAAGGAGGAAGTACCATTGGTAATGTGGGAAGGGTTTTTTGTTTGACGTACCCTGTCAAGGCCAGTGTGGCCAGTTGAACATTCCTGTCCTCTCACCCCTAAACTCACCCTTTATTGTCCGGACTGACCTACTCCACCCAAAACACAGGGTCAAAAGTTGAACTGCTAATGAAACTCTTCGAGCCATCAGACTCGTGACCGCTAGACGTGGCCAGTGAGATCACAAAAATAAGGTTTAATCAACATAACTCTGACCTTTGACCCCAAGCAAATGAGAGCAGTGTTTTTAGCAGGGTCAGAGGTGATTGGACTAAAAAGTTCACAAGTAAATTCAGTCTGGAACATGGTTTGCTCTTATAAAAATAGCTGTACTACTACGAATATGTAAAAAGCACAAGAATATGTACAGCAAATGCATTAAACTGATCAAAAGTGACAGTCAAGACATTTGTTTACAAAATAATAATTTTAAAAATGCTGTTTAATTCACTTTCCATAGATCAAAGAACAGTGTGTATATATGCCGGCCAAAGGTTTGGAATAATTAAATGTTTTTGAAAGACATCTCTTATGCTCACTAAAAATACAGTGAAAAGTAGTATTGTAAAATATTAGTACAATTTAAAATAACTTTTCAATTTGAATGTATTTTAACATGCAAGTTATTTCTTTGATGGTTATGCTCACTAAAAATACAGTGAAAAGTAGTATTGTAAAATATTAGTACAATTTAAAATAACTTTTCTCAATTTGAATGTATTTTAACATGCAAGTTATTTCTTTGATGGTATGCATTTATATATATATATATATATATGTATTTGTATGTAACTTTGTATTAGTTTGTATCATGTTAACGCCACCTGATACTTCCTTGATCGTTCATCTCTGCTAGCGTGTGTGTTTTACCTTTGATTTGAGTGCTGTCACTGAAACAAGATTTGTTCTCATCTGAGGAAAAAAGAGCATCAGCTATTTTTTTTGCCGTGCTGGTGGATTTATTCGCAAACAGAGAAAATAAATAGCCTGCTGCTTTATCTGGAGCCATTATCATTGCAATGCATTCTAATCTTTCTAGTTTTTCTGTCTTTCTCTTTTTCTCTTAGTCTGTTTCTTGACCAGTACAGAAGCAGTCTGGTTGATGCACTAAGAAGATTACTGCGACCTGATGTAAGTGTGTGTGGAGTCTCAGTAATTAGTTGGCATGCAGTGATTGAGCGAGTAATGGAATGGCAGGATTAATATCATGTAATACTTTAATACTTATTATGTGCAACTTAGATTGGGTCATCTCATCTATTTTATGCACTGCACTAATCATAAGACCCCACAAGTCCTCTTTCATGCCCTCTTGATATAAGACCCTGAACAGCAAATGAAAAACACTTCAAAGATAACAACGGATTTGTATTTATCTTTAACGTTTTTCATGAATCGTCTTTGATATTTGATGTCTTTATGTAAAGGGCTGTGGTGTGGTGTGTGTGAGAGAGAGACAGAGATGTTATGTGTTATCCCTAGTGTTTGTTAGGGATGGTAAAAAAAAGAAAGAATTGTATTTGGGTGTTTTTCAAGTAATCTTGATCAACTAAATTCTTGTTTATTTAATTTGCTTAGTGTAAAAAATTGGACATGCATGCATTACAGGAAAATTAGTCTTTTCCAATGAAAATAATGGTCATGGTAACAAAAAATGAGATAGATAGATAGATAGATAGATAGATAGATAGATAGATAGATAGATAGATAGATAGATAGATAGATAGATAGATAGATAGATTGATAGATTGATTGAAAGATTTTTTTTATATAAAATTAATTTTTATTTTTACGCATTTCATATTTTATATTAAGCACAGTCTTTGCTTATGTCTCTTCGGTAATTATGTACACAAAAAAAATAGGGCCACATTTTTTTTGTGGAAATGATGCTATACGTAGATAGTAAACACATAACTTAATTTCTAAACAATATTGTAATATATTTTTTCGCTCTTTGTTTAGCTTATTAAAAATATGTAGTTTTGATATAATATATATTTTTATATAAAAAAAACACAATATTTTTATTATTATAATTTTTAAGATTTGCATATTTTATGGTCTGTAAAAGGCTAACACCAAATCGATATACACAAAGCATTTGGCAGCAAGGTTGCAGCAATAAATTTAAAGCATAGTTAATGTGACCTCCATATAAAAATAGGGGAGTTGAAAGTTGTTAGTAATTGTTAAAACTTTTTCATTAAAATATTAATTCTCCTAGTCAGGTAATAATAATGTGTGAAAATAATTACTTATTCAATAAATGAAAATATTTTGTTTTCCTGGCTCATTGTTGAATCAAGAAGGGGTAAAACAGATTTATTGTTGTGATTTTCCCCATAGCCTTCTGACCAAATGTTTGAGCTAATTTATTGAAACCAATTAATTTTCCTCCTAATGACTCTAATTTGTTATTCTAAAATGCCAGCAGAGCATCCGGCCAGCATACACAGCTGATTAACACATCTGTAGATATGCTCGTTTGTGTATGTGTGTGCTTTCGGCGTACGTTCTGCGTGGAGCTTATGAAAAAATTAAAACATCTGTTGTATTGAGATGAGCCTGTTCTCGTATTAGTAGTTGTTTGTTTCATTTATGTTGTTGCTCATTTAATTAAAGCAATAATATGAACAAAATATGAAATAATATTTAATACCGAAGGATTTCAAAGAAACTTTGAACCTTTGGGTAATCCTCTTAGCTTGCCTGGTTGGTCTGGGCTTGTTGATCTATAAAGAGAGGGGATGCGCTTCCAGCCATTGATTGGATTAGGTGAGCTTTAATCTTTTTGTTTATTATCTAATATAATACCTGGGAGAAATCAAATAGAATGTAATGATGCAAACCGCTTTGAGACGCAGTGAAGATGAGCTGGGCCGGATGGAGAAAAGAGCTCAACCCCCACACTAAAAGCTTACCAGTCTACCACAATTTTTCATTTGAGGGATTAAAATCCGCTTGCTAAAATTTTCTTTATTTGGTCATTTACTAGGCCATTTGCAGTTTTGTTTACAAGATAAGGATTTTGTATTCAAACAGGTGTCCAAAAAAATCATACTACCCCACCCTGCCTTTCATTGTTTTTCAAGCAGATGGGATTCACTGTGTTTTGACTTTTTAGGGGAATCAGTGTTTATAACAGTATTTTAATAATGATATTCATAATAATAATAATAATAATAATACATTTGATAATTGTTAATTATTTATTAATTATATTATCAATAATATATATATATATATATATATATATATACAGTATATGCAATTTGTTTTATATAATAATAATAATAATTATTATTATTATTATTATTAGAGCAATATGGGAGAAGATTGATTTAGCAAAACAAATTCTGACCTCTCACTTAGCAAATGAGAGCAGTGTTTTTATGTAATGTTGAGTTAGTGATATTAGTATGATTTCACTGACCGTGTCTAGCAGTCTGTAAAAAAATATTTTTTGAAGTTGCAAATAAAGCATGTAAATAAAAGATTAGGTTATTGCAGTATGTTTAACAAGAAAAAAAAATCTCAGCCTTTCGTCTTAAAAATTTTACATTTAGTTCAATGTGTTACTTGCCATTTCTTTGTAATTGTTTGTGAAATGTACTAGTAATTTCTGAGTGACTGAAAATTGTTTCTATACCAAAAAAGTAGTGTCATTATCAGGTTAATGAGAAAGTATTTTAATGTTGTCTTCAAACATACATATCATTTACTTTTACTTATGCTACCAGTTGCACAATTTGTCGTCAGTCAAGTGAAACACTAGTAAAGTGTCTCTACACTGTGTATGTTTGTGTTTTGTCTCTTTAGGGCACGGCTCTAGTATTTGCCCCTACCAGAGGAGACACGCTGGCAGAATTCTGCAGACTGGCAGAAAGCGCAGGCCTGAGAGTGTGTCGCTATGACAACTACGACTCACACTTGTGGGACCTTCACCTGAAGGTGTGTATTGTATATGTAAGTGTGTGTAAATGTTTTAAAGTGTCAGAAAGTTGAGAATCAAAGTTTTAAGTGCGACTGCATTTGCCTCCGCCTTTGTCTGTGCTCTAAATTTGTATTTTGAATGTTTCACTGAAGTACAGTATGCTATGTCAGCAGGAACAGGAACAGGGAGTCTGAAAGCTTAAGCTCTAAATGGACTCTTAGAACTCAAAAGCTGTCTTTCTGAGAAACTCTAAATGAATTGGACAGGGTGCAACTCCTTTCCCCCTGCCTGAAAGCACAAAAACCGTACCCAGGTCAAAGCAGCAGTGCCGTCCAGCTGGTTAACTGGCACCGATAGCACAGCCACGGCTGCCGTTTTTGGTTTAGCGAAGAAGCTGTGAGGACCCATTATGCCCCACAGGCCTAACAGTGGCGGCCCTGCCCATGCCTGAGGAAAATGGGCCTGTCAGCGGGACTCTAGAGCTGAGTGATTGGAACTTTATTTCTGAAGTGATGGACATGGCTGGGCAGAAAAACGCTGAGGGGTCATTGTGGCTACCGAGGAAAGAGTGTTTGAATTTAGAGCTGTCAATCGAGAGGACAGAAGGAGAGAGAAAGAGAAATGCAGAATTATGTTGTACATAGAAGCCCTAGAGCGGAAAAAGAAGTGGGTTTTTTTCTTAATTTTCCCTTAATAAGCATGAACAGGCCTAATACGGCAGCTAAAGTGGAAAGTTTTAAGCCCTTACACAAAGTCCATAAAAATACGGCCCGATGTACTGTGTTAATATGAAGAAACTTTCCTTACTGATTTTTCATGTGTTTTACCCATATTTGGATTTACGCATAGGGTGAAAATAAATGTTTGTAACGGATAATGTCCTGGCAGAAAATTACCAGTATCTCTTACAATGTTCTTCTTATCTTAAACACTTAAATGCATAACAACCACCACTTTGATGCATAATCATTAGAAAGAGTCATTTCTTTTTGAATTCAGATTTGTACAGATTTTGGTCAACACGCATTGTCAAAAGTCAGAGCCAGTCTGCAGATTTTGGGCAGTCAGAATTGACAGATTTCATTTTCTAGTTTCAGACTATGATTATATTTGATATATTGAACCTATTTTAGAAAACATTGTTTCCGTATTTTTTTTTTACGTGTCTACTAGCAACAAGGCACATGTTTCTGTGTAAGTTTGTTGTGTTTGGAATGACTTTGGAAAATCTGTAGTGTCGTTTAGTGTATGATGCATAGTTTTTATCTGTAACCATTTACAAAGTTGGGAAGCGTATGATGCCTCGTGTTTTAAAATCTATTCCAATTAGTATAGTGTGTTCCAGCTTTTAGGTGAGTGAGCTATGATTTTATTTGTAGCCAACCAGAAATCCTCTCTACCTGTGAACCGTTTTGCAGAGAGGCCATATGGCTGATACTACAGGCAGCGAATGTATTCAATGTTGGAAGCGAGCGAAATGTGTGAAATCGCTCACAGCGCCTTTAAGTATTGTCCAGATGAGCCAAAACGGTACCACACTTGCCCATTAGCACACACACACCTAGCTAATGCATTCACCTTTTCCTCGCGTTGCCCCGATGCACCTGAAGTCTAACGGGATCTTTTTGAGCCCGACCACCTGCTGTGTTTCTGCGCGGATAATGACATGAGCAGCAAGGGGCCGAGATAGCTGAGTCAAGAGTCCCGCTGTTCGCGCCCGTGTGCGTGTGTCTTTACTCTCGGTTTGCTGTCAGCTGTGTGTGTGATACGAGGGGCGAGCTGAAGTGCCCTCATCATATCTCAAAGTGATTAATTCCTCTTTCTTATCTTCTGATGAACACCCTGCCCCCTGCGAGTGTGTGCTGGGTGAGAACGTAAGGAACGAAGCGCACAAAAAAACGTGCGGCAGACAATAGATCACATGCCCCACCTCCTTCAGAATCCCAAATCACAGTCTTCTATTATAGCAGCGTCTACGGGCCCCTCCCGGACTTACACCTATGGTCGTCTGTCACTCCTCACCTCCAGCCAGCCTCTGATGTCTTGGAGATTGAAGTGTTTCCTTTAAGACCCTAAATCTCCTCCCTCCTTCCCTCCCGCGTGTGCAGGCCGGCTGCGGATGGGGCTCTCAGCGGTCTGGGGACGTGGCAAGGGGGCTGTGTGTTATCCTCTTATCCCCACTGTTCTGGAATAGAGCACCAGCAGCTGGAGGACTGCAAGCCGCCTGATAATGCAGCTATTTTCTACTCGGCCATCTTAATCTTGTTACTCAAATGGTTGTGAAGAGAGTCATGAATTTTAATTCAGACATCCCTCGTTCACACCCACACATATACATACACATATTAACTTAATCTCTCTACATCCTCCCAACTTCCAGCTGTCTGTCTGGCCGTATCTGCTCTCGGCGCGTTTAACACCCGAATCTATCCATTTCTGGGGCCTGTAGCGCGAGCATCCGGTTGTCCGCTTCATCCCGTGCTTTCTAAAGAACTCCTCTCGCTCTCCTCGATGCAAAAAGCAGGCTGAGGGGGACCGAAGAGAGCGAGGGAAAAGCAGCAATAAAATAAATGGCTTGCATCTTGGCAGCCGTGCGATTAAAAAGTAGGAGCCGATTTATCCAGCCACCCATGAAGCTGATTAGCAGGCTGTGATCAGGAGGAACAGCTTTGCCTGTTAAACTTTTCACCTTTGCAAGCTTGCTGCCTTTTTCCCCTTCCTCTCTCTCTCTTTCTAAGCTTCTTTGCTATATCACTCTCTAACACTTTTATTGCACGCTCTCTCTTTCCTCCGGGCCTCTCTCAATCCTAACTTCCATGTGCACGCTCTCTAGCTGTGTTCCAATTCATAAGCTCCCTACGCAGTGTTCACTTGACACATGTCTATATATTTTGGTCATCTAACTTGACAAAATTCATTCATATGGAACACTCTGCAGCACTTCAGTCATGGCAGATGAGAAGTGTTCGGTATATATATACTGTAGATAGCAAGGACACATTAAATTGATCAAAAATTACTGACATTGTCAAATGTCAAAAAACTTCAACCTCAGGTAAACGCTGCTCTGTAGAACTGAAGAATCCCGAAAAAAATGCATCTTAGTTTCTAGAAAAAAATTAAATAGTACAACCATTTTCAACATTTATAATGATAAGAAATGTTTTTGAGCAGCAAATCTGCATATTAGAAAGATTTCTAAAGGACCATGTGACTCTGAAGACTGGAGTAAAGACTGCTGAAAATATATTTTTAGATTAAATATATTAAATATATTTTTATTTTACATTTTAATAATATTTTAAAATAATATTCTTTTTAATGTTAAAGTTAATGTAAAATGTCTGTATAATTATGTATATTAATATATCTGACCTGAAATCCCCAAATGCAATGAGAATGAATCACTGTTTAATATTTAAATATAGATTTAAATAAAAAATATTTAAATTATTATAGTTCATCATTCCCAAATGTAATGATAATAAATAAGGAAATAAATGTGATTTGTTAATTTTACAGTATGTATCTTCTATAAACTATTTTGTGATATTTGATCATAATAATGGCATTATAACATTTCTTTATACCTGCAAATAACAGTGCAGAAACCTGAGGGGAATTAAGCTCAATATAACTCCTTTTCACACTTCGTGTAATACTAAAATGATGTGAAATGACTAATAAATGTTAAATTTCTCTCGATGACTGGTAAATTTCTCTCTTCAAATCCTGTGAAAGTATCAGTGAACTCTTGCTCCGTGTGCTGTTTACAGTGGCCTTCAGGCGGAACATATATGCTCCCTATGGTTTTAAGTGTACGTTGCAGGGTACCGTCAGGTGATTTGATCTTACCCTCTCTTGCACTGCACTCACACTTGTCTGGGTTGGTGTGAATGTGTCAGTCCTTGCTTTGGGCTTAGTGTTGGTCGGCTGGCTGCCCCGATTACAGAGAGGTCACGGGTTCAAACATTGGCTGCTGTGTCGAGGGGTGGAGAGAGAGATAACACACATCAAGGGCAAGCGAGCGGCCTTTTATCTGTTTTTATTTTATCTCAGGCCACAGAGATGATGAGGTGAATGTTAGAGTAAGACAGAAGGAGCATGTGTATCCATTTGGGAATCACTTAATGATGTTCATACTGATTTAACATTCATTGGTTATGTTTTTTTCTCTCAGTTTGTAGTCAATGGAGGATGCTTAGTTACATCAGTGATCTGGTTTATGTTCTGCCTTCAGTTTCACATGTTAATGATATAACTTTAGCCTGATGGAAGAGTTGGTGTGCTCTGTATATGACGGTCCTGTTGGAATGGCGTTTGCTTTAAGTATCCCACAAAACCTTTATAAAAAAGTGGTGGTAGTGATTGTGTATGTGACTAATTCTGCCCTGATTACATTTGAATCATTCTGAAAACCTACTCACACGTCAGCTGTGTTTTCTGTTTGGAGGGATCTTGTTTTCATAAATTAACTGCCTGTTTCTCTTTCTAAGTGCTGGCGGAGTGTGTGGGATTTTGGAGGATCTGATTGGTTGGGACAGTGCTGAGCTCCAGGGCAGAAGAGACTGGCAGTGCACTGAGTGTACTGCCACAACTCTAGAGCTCAGACGGTGGCAGAAAAGCAGACCCACAGGGCATATCGTACAGCAAGGCTGCGTGACATTCCCTCTGCATACACCTCTACTCTAAGCGGGCCATTATGATTGTTTAGTTAGTGGGATTCTTGCCGCTTGTCCTTGTTTGTTAGAGGGGGTTCTTGCACTGCACATACCAATAGTGAAGGGCATATCGCAGGAAGCTTTTTTAATTAAATGGAGCAGAAATAGAATGTTCTTACTCTAATTTGTCAGAACAGTTGTGAAAGCAGTAGAGTAAGTTTCATTTGAACATTGACGCTATGCGTCAAACCCCATCAAGCCAAATCCTAATCATATATAATCATTATAAAAAGAAGTATTTAAATGTATTTTTCAAAATAGAACTATTTTTTATTTTTATATGTAAAATTCATAAATAGAAAGTTTTTGGGTACCAGTGTTGTTACTGTAACTAAAAATTACAAATAAAATGATTGAAATGGTTTTTGGTCAAATATAAAGATTACATGAAAACTACTCTATCTTATTTAAGTTAGTAAGGCAATATTTTAATGTTTTAAGCTGAAAAATAAATAAAATAAAAAGTACTGAAATAAAAGTAAATAAAGACTAAATAGTAAATAAAAAAACTGTAAAAATTACAAAAGCACATAATATTACAAAATAAATATATGTTAAAAAATATTTAAAAATTCCTCATTAAAATAATAACTCTAATAATACTACTACTAATAATAATGACATACTTTGTAAAAAAAAAAATTAATTTTTTTTTTAATTCAGATTTTTAAAATATCCTTTTCATAGAAGTCATCATTGTATGTTTGAAGTGCACTTTTAATGTTTTTAAATGAATTAATGTCACTGCATTGGCATGGCTATTTATATAGTACTTTAATTCTAATGTTTATTTGCATAGTCTGAAACCATGGATATATCTGAGTGACTTCAGCAATGTAGTTTTCCCATCTTTTTTCCTGCATTTGAACTTTTGAATCTTGTTTTTCAGATGCAGAGAGAAGGAAAGGAGGTGTACGATGAGAACATTCACTATCCTCTTCTCCTCACGCTCACTCACGGATCCAGTCCAGCCCTGATCTGAGCTGGGCAAAGCCGTCTCATGCCAGGCTGCCTTTCTGTTGCCACTGTGTCCTCAGCTCCTGTGTGTGCGTGTGTGTGTGTGTGTGTGTGTGTGTGGGTGTGCCAGAACTAAACAGCCTCTAATCACACTCCTCAACTCGGATAACTTTTTTTAACTACCGTGTGTGTGTGTGTGTGTGTGTGTGTGCAGTGAAAAGTGTGTGTGTGTGCAGTGTGTAGGTGAGTTTCCGTGTGTGTGTACTTGACCTGTTTACTGTGCAACAACAGTGTGATATGCATTAAATGGGAATGGAGAACACATCCCTCCCTCTCATCCTACAAAGACTGCGGATGTGACGCTCAGATATGAACTCATTCTAATCAGGTTCGCTGGACTATCTTCGCCTCTTTACAAAGACGTCTTGATCATGAGATCTTGTTATCATAATGACACCAGCTCTCAGTTAGCTACTGATTCTGTATCTCAATTCAAAGATTCATTCTGACACCAAAGGTTATGAGGGGTTGAGATGGATGCTGTTGCACTTAATGTTATTTGCTTCACTGTGAAATGCTTTCACCTGGCATTTTTTTTATCGAAGAACTGACAAGATATGACAGATTAGGCCAGACTAAGACTGAATTGATGTCTTGACAGCGTCACACTACCACTGGTAAGACCTGCAGCACTGTTCTCCTGTATGTTTTGAGTGCACTCACTGTGCATGCTGGACTAATGGCCTCATAAAGAGATGAAAATGGTGTCATCATTTATCATGTCTTTTGAAACCCATTTGATTTTCTTTTAACCATAGAATTTAAAATGGATTATTTGTAGCAGGATGTCCAAATTGGTCATTTCTATACAATAAAAGTGAATGGTAATCATAACTATCGTTTTCAGAGAATAGCAACTTAAGTTTCAGTCTTTTTTGCACGCAAAAGCTTTAGAGAATTTAAAATAATGTGAAAGCTGGGTGGACTGGGTGCTATTTTGCCCTTTTTTGGAACTTGACAGCCTCTGGTCCTCATCCACTTTGATTGTATAGAAAAGAGCTGCATGGACATTCTGCAAAACTTCTCTTTTTATGTTCCATGAAGGAAAGAAAATATGTGTTTGGAAGTGACATGAGGGTGAGTAAATGATGACGATTTTCAAGTTTAAATTTAATTAATAGATACAGGTCATAGGAGTTCTGTTTAGATGCCCCTTTCCGCCATGGAATAAAAAATATATAATTTAATTGCGATTTCTCGTGTCTTTTTTTTCAAGCTTATATCTCGCAATTCTGACTATAAATTTACATCCTGCAGTTTTTTTCACTGCAGAATAAATAATAAAACAGGTAATATGACTTTTTCCCCCATGATTCTGGCAATTCTGACTAGTTTATATCTCGCATTTTAGGCTTCTCAGAATTGCAAGATATAAACTTGAACTCATTATAAAGTCTGAATTATGATATAAAAAGTCACACTTACCTTTTTTATTTTTTTATCCCATGTCGGAAACAAGCTTCAATAGTTCTGTTTTTGTAAATCAAGGGACATACAGAAGTTGGTTTTTGGTGTACATTCAGAATAAAATTATTTTACACCCAAATATTAAATATTAAACTCTTAAACAATTTTTTGCATTTTAACAAATAAATCTTTGGTTGATTACATTTTTCTCCACTGTTGTTTTCTCCTGATGGTGAGCTGCTGACACCTCATTCAGAGCTCTTTGGTTTGTTGTGAATTGTTCAGGGCTGTGTGCTTCTGCACTGTGATTACATTTGTACAAAACACAGATGAGTCCAATGTGATTGTTTCTCACTGACACTGCAGGTGCTTGTAACGACTGTGATTAAATCATTGTTTTGAATCCTTCTGTGTACCGCTAATTTTTTTTTGTGTCACATAATGTGTAATTGATTTGTGGTGTGATGGCTCATCGTTATAGTGATTAATGCCAAAATTGTTTCATTGTATTTAATGCATCAATTGTACAAATGAATTATTATTATTATTTTTTTTATATATATATATATATATATATAGAAACAGTTGGGTTAAATGTTGGGACAAAAAAATATTTTTTCAGTTTAAACCTAGAAATAAAGTTTAAGGATTTCAGACATTTTTAACCAAGTCAGCACTATTTATAGATTATTAATCAAATAAGCATATGCTATTTGTTCAAACCAAATACTGAGGTATTCTCAAGTAAATTTTTCAATTCAATTTTCACTCAAATTGTTATGCTACTAATATATTTATGAAAACATTTGCATTAAATAAAAAAAAAGTTCTCACTTTCAGACCTGACTATATGTCCTGCAGTGTCACTTGACTAGCGGATGGCCTCAGATGTGCCTCAATTCACAGTTTGACTGTCTCTCTAGGCCTCTTCATTTCCCATGCTCTGATAGCCAACTTGAAGCTCAGCTGTAGAGTCGCTATGAGGCTAATCCTGTCAGTCAGTCTTTGGAAAAGAGCGAGAGAGGGGAGGGGTAAAAAGGAACCCAACTCTGTCTTTTGAGATTTGAAAGAGGTCCGTTGTCCCCTCCCTCTGTCCCAGGAGAGGGAGAGAGCTCCCTGTTCACTACAAGGGCTCCATTAACTTGACCACTTGCCCTTTGCACACAAAGCCTGGGCCGGCCCACTGTCCCACCCACCCAATTATGTGCGATTAAGCTCAGTGTGCTGTGTCAAGATGCAGAGGGATAGAGAGAGAGTCGAGATACTCTGTAAATGGAGGGAGAGAGTGGAAAAAAGGAAGAGAGTAGTTATTAAAAGGCACTGCATGCCTGTTACCTGTAGTTTGGCTTATTGTCTATCAGTACAGACAGTCTAAAATACATTGTTTGCTGTTTTGTAGTGCAGAGATGGGGTGCTTTAGGAAACAAACTGGATGTTTTAGAGTAGGATATGGTTGTATAAAGGTATATGATTAATATTAAAATTAAGGTTCAATTATATTGTTTATAAATTAGCATCAATCTAGATTCATAAATATATTAATACATAGAATAAATACGGTAAGCATTATTTTTCATTTTTAGGGATGCCTAATGCTTTAACAAATTGCATTTTTTCTGTAAGATGTTACCAAATTATTTAGAGTATTTATCAAAGTAGATCTTATGTGTACAATTTAATTAAGTTTATTAATGTAATGGTAAATAACTGACATTCCATATTGCCCATATTATTATTATTATTTATTTTTGTAATGTATTGTTTTTTGTGGTGCTGGTGTGTGGGCACAGGAGAAATTTGTTTAAAGAAAGTATTTTATTCAATTCAAGTTAATTTGTATAGTGCTTTTTTTCTATACAAATCGTTGCAAAGCAACTTAACAGAAAATTAAGTTTCTACAATATTTAGTAGTAGCTTATCAGTGGTGACTTTCGGTTTATGTACATATGGCAGAAATGTACGGAAAAATCAATTAAAGACGTAATCAAACAGACGATGAACACTATTAAGAGCAATTATTATATGAGGCAATCAAACTTATAGCAAAATTTGGTAGTTCTGTATGTTGTTTTGGGTTTGGCATCATCTGAGGGATTGGCATCATCTCTTCTCAGGTGTTCTGGATCCAGACTGAAGCTTGTGTAAATCCTAGTTATGGCAAAAACAGAGAAACAAATAATCAAAGTACCGAGAGCGATTAGACAGCATTTAAAATGTTTGTTTTGATGTCAAATAAGTCTTGCTGTTTTGCTTTTTTGTTAAAGCAGTGTTGCTGTTGTAAAGTTATACAGCTACAGTTGTGTTGCTGGGTTTTAAAGCAGGTTAGATTTTTTTTTCTTCTTCCTTATCACTCTGTATTTACAGGATTTCACTGTCCACTCTGTTCAAATGTGGATGAATGGCTACACATAGATGTGTGCACACACTGTGAGAGCTGTGTGAGATCACTACCATCCTGCTTTTGTGGGGCTGGGTAGGGGTGTTCAATAATTTTTTTTGTTTTGTTTTTTTAACATTCTAAAAGCTCTTTATTCCAAATATACTACAAGTTAGTCAGTGTATTCAGCAGGTGTAATGTATTCTAAGTTGCTTCAGAAGTATTGTAAGTACTACTATGTGCATTGACATAAAAAAGGAAATTTACTTTTGGTACTTACGTACTTTCAAAAGTAAGTACTTCTGTACTTTTACTTAAGTAAAAAATCTGTCTTTACTACTTTTACTTGTGATGGGGTAATATTTGACCAGCAGTATCTGTACTTTCACTCAAGTAATGGAGTTGAGTACTTTGTCCGCCTCTGAGTACAAGATTATGAGGTGCATTATTTGAATGCTTGGCCAAAGAGATGTGTCTTTAATCTAGATTTAAACAGAGAGAGTGTGTCTGAACCCCGAACATTATCAGGAAGGCTATTCCAGAGTTTGGGAGCCAAATGTGAAAAAGCTCTACCTCCTTTAGTGGACTTTGCTATCCTAGGTACTACCAAAAGTCAAGAGATTTGCGACCTTCGGGGGCGTGATGGATTGTAGAGTGGTAGAAGACTAGTTAGGTACGCAGGAGCTAACCCATTCAGGGCCTTGTAGGTAAGTAATAATATTTTGTAACTGATACGGAATTTAATAGGCAGTTATTTGGGTAATATGATCATATTTTCTTGACCTGGTAAGGACTCTAGCCGCTGAATTTTGGACTACCTGTAGCTTGTTTATTGAAAATGCAGGACAACCACTTAGCAGTGCATTACAATAGTCCAGTCTAGAGGTCATGAATGCATGAAATAGCTTTTCTGCATCAGAAACAGGTAACATGTTTCGTAGCTTGGCAATGTTTCTAAGATGGAAGAATGCCGTTTCAGGTAGGATCTAAACCATCTTAAAGCCTGCCCTTGGATACCTGTATAGTTTTGTAATCAATCTATGAGTATGTCATGATCTATAGTGTCGAACACAGCACTAAGATCAAGTAAAACTAGCAATGAGATGCTACCTTGGTCTGACGCAAGAAGCAAGTCATTTGTAATTTTAACAAGTGCAGTTTCTGTGCAATGATGGGGCCTGAAATTCTTCATAGAGATATTTTTTGCAGGAAGGAGCACAATTGAGCAGACACAACTTTTTTTTTTTAATTTTAGACATAAACAGAAGATTTGAAATGGGTCTGTAATTTGCCAGTTCACTAGGATCTAGTTGTGGTTTCTTAATAAGAGGTTTAATAACCACAAGCTTGAATGGGTTTTGGACGTGACCTAAAGACAACGACGAGTTAATAAGATTAAGAAGCGGTTCTTCTGCTACAGGTAACAACTCTTTCAGTAATTTAGTGGGTACAGGATCTAACAGGCATGTTGTTGGTTTAGATGCAGTGATAAGTTTATTTAGCTCTTCCTGTCCTATAGCTGTAAAGCACTGCAGTTTATCTTTGGGTGCGATGAATGAAGCTGAAGTATTAGACACTGTAGAATCTGCATTTGCTATTGTATTTCTGATGTTATCTATTTTATCAGTGAACAATTTATGATCATTTTTATTTCTGAAATAGGATAGAAATTATACAGCACAAATTTGCTTTGGCACCTATCTCTTAAACATGTTTTGTACTTATGTACACAAACTCAAATAGATGCCATGCTGTTATTGAATGCACCATGCTGTTGTGGTTAGGCCCATCTCCCTGAGGCTGGTTGGCATCGTCAGGGTAAAAGTAGGTGAACTGACAGTGATGGTGTACTGAGCTGTTTTAGGGGAGCTTGTTTTCTCATCTTACCAAGGATGGATTATGGCCCAGGCTTGACTGCCACAGGCCTTGCGCTGTGGGGCCCACTCTGGCCAGACACCCAAAAACAACACTTTGCAAATGGAACATGTAGAAAAATAGCTCTTGATTGTGTACCAGCGAAATTAAAATGAAAAACAAGGTTAATACAAATCATATAATCATGGAATAAATAATAAGAATGTGAGATTTCATACTTTTTTTTAACCTTTTTTAAGTTGTATTTTTTTTTTATTATTTCATTTCACCTCTTTAATTCAAGGCAATACAATTTAAGATTGCATTTTTGAAAAATAAAGGCATGTTTGCTGAATGTTAAAATCATGATTAAACAGAAATATCCATATTGTGATGTACATCCAGTGTAACGGATTGTCGAAAAATAAATAAATATAGTTCTATGACTGTATTTTGAAATGTGGGCATTGCACTCAAAAGTTAAGGGCAGATAAGTGCGAACTTGCAAGGGTGGGTT